TCACTCTGAGAAGCACAGAGCTGAAGACAGAAGCCTGAAGATGATGAATGAGACTTCATCAAAATGTTGCCTAGATACTTCCAATCTTACGCGGGAGAAAACCCAAATAACCAAAGATCCACATACAAATACCCGCAAGAACCTCAGAAAACAAATATATATATATATATATATATATACATACATACATACATACATACATACATACATACACACACACACACACACACACACACATATATATATTCAATTGACATTGAAACAAATATAAAAAGAGTTGAGTTTTATTTACCCTGCGACAACTACCATCTTGCATTTTTGACAACTCCCTGATTGGCTGCTTTGGCGGACTTTGTTCTGAACCAAATATAAATATTGAAGTGCAGTAGGATGAGAGCAAGAGAAGTGTTTAAATACCTTGTATATCTTTGGCTTTCCAGTTGGTGAGTTGATACCTCTTTGTTTTGCATCATTTAAAAAGGTATAATTGGTTTGATGTTGATGATGAAGAATCATGTACATAACATGATCTTTTGTTTAGTCCTAATTAATGTTTCAAATGCATTTTCACAAAGAAATAATACAATCCATATAAATCTTTTTTTTTTTCAAATACAGAGAATTAAACAATTAAACCAAGGAGCAAGAACACACCAACTAAGCCTTGATCAACTAAGCAATTATTGCAGACATATCCCACTATATAAATATTTGAAAGCCTAGACTGAAGTTACGGATGAGTTGAAAGCAGCTAAAAGGTGATTTATTTACCTTTCTGGGAATATAGATGGACCTGGAGGGATATGCAGTGGAGTAAAATGATCCGTGGACTCCAAAGTTTTTGTTACTACATCTGCTCCATCATGTACATCATTGTAATAGGTCATTCTTGGATACACCTCCATCTTAAACTGCTATGGAGAGGACCTGAAAACAGATAATTTCAATGATCTGATTCTGAAACCAACCAAATACATTTGAATACATTTTCAGATTGTATTGAATGCTAAATAAGTTTCAACAAATAAAATGGATAAAGACTTATAGCATTTAATATTAATAAGGGAGGAAAATTCTAAAATAGACTGTCATTTTGCATTTTTAGTAGATCAAGTTTTCTAATTAAAATAAGAATTTTATTTGTCAGAAGTCACATCAAGCAATTACAATCACAAATATGAATGTGGTATAATGATTTCTTTTACTAGTGTGTTGGATTGAGTGAAATATGCATATTATTAATGTAAGTATGTCTGTATATAGTGGTATAACATGAAGAAAAGATATTTTGATTTTCCTTAGTTCATGACAAAAAGGCACAACATATTCACACTTGCAAACTGTGTTGTTGAAATGATAAAATGTGCAACTGTTAAATGATATATCTTGCAATTATAGTTATTTCAGCTTTCTCAAACTAGATGTTCTTCAAATGTATTAGCAATAGCACTTATATATTGCTTCACAGTGCTTAAAAGACCTCTCTAAACAGTTTTACAGAGTCAGCATATTGCCTCCAACAACCTGGGTCTTCATTTTACTGACCTCAGAAGGATGAAAGGGTGAGTCAACCTTGAGCTGGTGAGAATCGAACTGCAGACAGCTGGCATCAGCAGAAGTAGCCTGCACTACTGCATTCTAACCACTCTGCCACCATGGCAGAAATTTCCATGATAATCAGCTACCATAGAAAAGAAGCATACTCTCTAGAAATTACGGGAATAGTTTGAATACAGTGAGAAGGTGTTCAGTTGAGGAAATGTCTTTGAACTTTGAATTCTAGAGACAGAGAAATCTATAGTCTTCCAACTATGACTAAATTAAATTCTCATTGACTACATTGGTTGCTGGGAAGTGTGATTCAGTTTATCATTCACTTTTCTCTTGCAGTCTCAAATCCACCTACCTTTCCATTTAAGTGTTGTGCAGGATACTGAATTACTTTCTTAGCTAGCCCCCCAAGTTTTTATCTGACATCACAATGACTTGGTCATCAACTCCTTATGAAATAGAGGAGATTGTCCTCACTCTTGTTTCTAGAGTAAAAAGAAATGGCTGAATTTGCATAATGGGTTTTAATCAAATGAGGCTAAACAGTGAAATGTTCTGGTAATAGTATAGGGGAAAAATATTAGTGACTGATTTACTCAAGCAGGTATGGAAATTAAGTTAATTAAGATATAGAAAAACATTCTGCAGCCAAGATTAGAAACTATAATCTTGCTGGAAATGATAAAACAGAATAGTGGTTATCTTTTAGAGAAGCTAGATTTTGATTCCATTCCTGCACAAGAGAAAATAATCTGCCTTATCTGGCGTTTTAAATATCAGTGTTAAGCATTGGTGGACAGCTTCTGCACTCTAGTGGCTGCAGGATAATTCTGAAAAGATCCAACTTTAGTTTTTCAAATTTACTCATAACTTTGAAATTACTAAATATTAGAAAAGGAATAAAGAAGTACACTTCTCTTGTAAATATGTCTATTTTTTCATATTGACAAGAGCTGAACGTGTGGTTTAGCTATAGTTATGATTTCTTCGAGGCCATAAAATGATGCCAATATGTTGACTGTTTATGGCTCAGCTCAATTTGTCTGATTAATTTCTGAGGGGAGACTGTGAAGAGAAAAAATTGCCATCATTTAAATCAACATTAAGAATTGAGCAGCATATAAGCTACGCACGATTCTAACATTCCCTCACTTTCCCATTAAAATGTTCACATTTCAGAGGCACTGTTTCAGATCCTTTGAGAGCAAGTTTAAGGTAGGCAGGTGTTAAGGGTAAAAAAGGGTTCCCAAAATTGCTCCATTCCTAGTATAGTCTCCAAAAGACAAAAGAGCCAATTTTTTTGGCTCTACTCTCTCAGTGACATCATAGCATTAGGAGAAAGTAGTTGTGATTATCCAGAATCTGGATAATCACAACTACTTTCTCCTAATGCTGTGGGTTAAGAATTAGACTGCTTTCTCCTAATGCTATAGGTTAAGAGTTAGATTGCTGCTCTGAATCCACAGACATGAGCTGTCCATGGTTTAAATTAAAAAATACCATTGCGAAGAAGGCTATCTGGAGGATTCTTATGGATAATTATTATATGATTATGGCATATAGCTCATTATTCATTTAACCACAATGTTGATTGTTTGGCTTAGTTCTGAAGGATGAACCCAGCTATTGTAGGTTGAAAATGATGGTTTATGAATTAATGCTATATTGGAACCATACTATTTGTTTGTTCATTTATATCCCATCTTCATTATTTTACAAATAACTCAAGGAAGAGAACATATCCAACAAATGTTCCTCCTCTAATTTTCGACACAACAATCCTGTGAGTGAATTGGGTTGAGGAAGAGTGACTGGCCCAAAGTCACCCAGTTGGCTTTCATGCAGGGGTGGGATTCTACCAGTTTGCACCTATTCGCTAGAACCAGTTGTTAACATTCTAAGCAGTTCGGAGAACCAATTGTTAGAAGAAATTACTGGCCTAATCTTGTAAGGAAGGCAGGAAGGAAACATTCTGGTGTTGCTTACAGAAACTGCCTCTTCATTAACCCTTATTACATTCTTGGCAGGACTAGACTTCCTGTCTCTGGAACTTCTCTGGAGTTTTTTTTCCTCCTTTGCTGGTACTTTGCTTGTGTGGAGTGACCATTCAAAGTTACAGTGGCACTGAAAAAAGTGACTTATGACCTTTTTCACACTTATGACTGTTGCAGCATCCCCACAGTCATGAGAGGCCATGTGAGGAGATGTGTGCCTCGATGTGAGTGAAGTTGAGTTGGCCACGCCCAGCCAGTAGCATGACCACCAAGCCATGTCTACCCAGTCACATGACCACCAAGCCATGCCCACCAACTAAGCCACTCCCACAGAACCGGTTGTTAAAAAATTTGAATCCCACCCCTGCTTTCATGGCTAAGGCATGAAACTCACAATCTCCTGCTTTCTAGCCAGGTATCTTAACACTGGATATTATAATATTATAATTACTATTTCTGTTGTATTACTGTGATGGTTTTCAAGGCAAGGTTAAAATAAACATGATTGCAATGAGGGGCATTTAGTCTTTAGCAGAGACTGGAAATCTAGACATGTGAAGTCCAAATGTGAAAGTACTGTGCTGGGTTGAAGTCCTTTATGGTTGAAGTCCTTATAAGCCTATGCCTGAGGTGCTTTTCATTTCAGGCTTTTAGCAGTACAATCTGGAAGGGACACAAAGTGTTATCTTCTCCCATTCTTGTGGAGAAGCACCTTTAGAAGTACATCTTATTCCTTGCTTGAATGAGGAAGGATCTGCTTCCTTTCAACTGGGCATAGAAATTTTTTAATAGCAGAGATCTAGCTGAATCTTTTCTTTAATCTTTTCTTCTTCTTCTTCTTCTTCTTCTTCTTCTTCTTCTTCTTCTTCTT